TGCTTGAGCTGCTGCTACCCCTCCCTTGCACTCTTGCTCTTTGCTGCCGCCATGAAAGGTTGTCCTCTGCTATGTGCTGCTCTGCGTTAGACCCAGCTGAGTATGGACTGAAACCTCCAGTAACTGTGAGCTAAATAAACCTTTCCTGCCTTCATTTTGAGTGTTGGGTATTTGTCCCAGCAATGAGAGAAGAGTAACTAAGACAAGGGTCTGCAGGGTCTACAGGGTCTCACTACATAGATCGGACTTGTAGTGATTCTCCTGTTTTCAGCTTCCCAAGTGCTGGGATTACAGGCACGCACTTCCATGCCCAGTCTCAATCGACATCTCAACATGCCCTGGGCAGGGCTGGCATGGCTCACTGAGGATTGAACCTCCGATCCTGCCTCTGCCTAAGCAGGCACTTTAATCTGCTGAGCTATATTGCTGACCCAAACTTTCAAATTTTGTTGGCAACCCATATGTCCAAGTTTAACAAACACAGGGAATTATGCCAAGGCCTATGTACTCAAATTGTTCAAAACCTGGGACTAAGAGGGAATCATAAAAGCAGCCAGAAAGAAAAAGTCTTATGCACAGAGGAAATAAGGATGGAAGCAGATTTCTAATCAGAAACAAACAATCAAGGTGGCAGTGGAGAAGCATTGTTATATACTAAAGAAAACACCTGTCAACACAGAATTCCATTCCCAGGGAAACTACCAAGCATAAAGCCAAAAGAAAATGTAAAAACCACTGCTCATGTCTTACCTTTCTCTTTCCCATGACTTCCTGTTGCTTAGACACTTGGCCAGTTAGCATATGTAGAATAGGTGCCCAGTGACATCAACATCTCACTTGGATGTGCTACCTGATCGTTCATCCTCCAAAATTAGCGCTCTAATGGTGAATTTCAGTTTTATCATGACAAGCAGCCCATATTCAGAATACCACAATGACAGGCACTCCCAACATGAAACCACTATTACAAATTACCATCTGCAGTGCAGTAGCTTAGTTCACAGATATCAGTATATATAGTTAGTCAGGGTGAGAATGTTTCCAAATAACTCCTAGATTAAAGAATCTTCTGAATATTCTCCGGATCATTGCCTTGCTCATCTTTTACATAACATTTTCATGTTTCCTAGCTCATCACCTTTCCCTCTCTTGATTAGTTAGTCCTTGAGATCCTGCTTTCCCTTTCCTTGTATTATATCTTTCTATTTGTATTTCTTCTTTGGAGTTCTTATACTAGGGAGACTATATGATATTTACACATGTGCATGCTGATTTTATCACAGTAGCTTTGTAGTATATATTCAAGTCAGAAATTGTAATGCCTCCTGCCTTGTCTTTGTTGCCCAGGATAGCCTTTGTTATTCTAGGTCATTTGGGGTTCTAAATACAGTTTAGAAATGATTTCTCTATGTCTGTGAGGTATGTTGGTAGTAGTTTGATAGGTTTTGCATTAAATCTGTACAGCAATTTTGGGAGTATGGCCATCTTCACAATGTTGGTTCTTCCTATCAAGGAGCAGGAAATATCTTTCCATTTTCTGAAGTCCTCTACTATCTCTTTTTTCAGAGTATTGTAATTTTCCTTGAAAAGATCTTTGACTTCCTTAGTTAGATTAATTCCAAGATATTTCATTTTCTTTTTCTTTTCTTTCTTTTTTTTTTTTTTTTATGGAACTGGGGATTGAA